GGGCACGGGCAGGTGCGCGCGGCCGGCGCGGGGCGCGCTCCCCCCGCAGCCAGCACGGACTGCGACCCGGGCACCGGGATGTGGGCACGGGCACCGTGACACTGTGACAGGCACTGTCATCGGGATGGGCTCCGGGCACCGTGACACTGTGACAGGCACTGTCACCGGCATGGGCTCCGGGCACTGTGACACTGTGACAGCCACTGTCACCGGGATGGGCTCCGGGCACCGGGACACTGTGACAGGCACTGTCATCGGGATGGGCACGGGCACCGTGACACTGTGACAGGCATTGTCACCGGGATGGGCACGGGCACCGTGACACTGTGACAGCCACTGTCACCGGGATGTTGGCACGGGCACCGTGACACTGTGACAGGCATTGTCACCGGGATATGAGCATGGACACTGTGACAGGCACTGTCACCGGGATGTGGGCACGGGCACCGTGACACTGTGACAGGCACTGTCACCTAGATGGGCTCCGGACACTGTGACACTGGGACAGGCACTGTCATCGGGATGTGGGCACGGACACTGTGACAGCCTCTGTCACCGAGCTGAGGATATTGGGAGGGCCACTATCACCAAGATATGGGCACGGACACTGTGACACTGTGACAGGCACTGTCACCGGGATGTGGACACGGATATTGGGAAGGCCACTGTCACCGGGATGTGGGCACGGACACTGTGACAGCCGCTGTCACCGAGCTGTGGGCACAGGCACTGTGACAGCCGTTGTCACTGAGCTGAGGGCACGGGCACTGTGACAGTGTGGCAGGCACTGTCACAAGATGCAGGTACAGACACTGTGATGGTGTGACAGCCACTGTCACCGAGCTCTGGGCACAGGCACTGTGACAGTGGGACAGCCACTGTCACCAAGCTCTGTCTCTGAACTCTGTATAGCCAGTGACACTGTGCTGTGGCCATGGTCACCATGGTATGGCCGTGGTCACTCTGCTATGGCTGGGCACACCGCAGTACAGCCAGGACACCTTGCCATTGCCAGGGTCCCGGTGCTATTGCGAGAATTACCAGCCTGGGGTCACCATGCTGCTTCTGGGGATAGCTTGCCATGGGCAGGGCTGGGGTGTCCTTGCAAGGGTCACCATCCTATGGCAGTGTCACCAGGCAATGGCAGTGTGCCATGGCCCTGTGAGTGTCTGGGCTGTTGGCAGCAGGGCATGCCATGGCCTGGAGCACGGGAGGTCACCACGCTGCTCAGCTCACCTCTGCTGTGGACACTGACCCCAAAATACCCGCCCCCCTTCTGTGCCCAGAGCCCCAGAAAGAGTGCTGTCACCCYTTGGGGACCCTCAGATGCCCTGCAGCCAGGAGGGCTCTCAGACCTGGCATGAGCCAGGGGCTGTGCTGGCCACTCACCGAGAGCAGAGGGCAAAGGTTTGGCAGCTGCTCTTTGCTGTTGCACRCCCACAGCTGGTGCAAGAAAAGGGAAGTGAAAATGGATGGGGCTGAACTCTTGCTTTCCGCACGAAAGGAGACATCCACAGCTGCCATGGGACAGAAAGAGGCCAAGCCCCATCTCTGCACCCTCCCCATGGACAGCAGGAAGGAGGAAAAAGAAAAACCGTAGAGGGAAACCCTGGATGACTGCGAAGGGAGTTCCCCCCGCGGCTCCAGGACCATCTCCCGAGTTAGTTTTCCCAGCACCGCGATGCTGATCCCGGTTCCATAGCTACCGATGCCATGACAACTCTGACATCATCCCTGCTTCGGACGGGAGCTGCAGGGAAAGGCGCAGGGAGGAGGAGCGTGCCCGCCCTGCTGGCACTGGCATGGGGCTGGGGGCTCCTCCCGGCCCCAGCACGGCTCTCCCCCTGCCCCACGGCCCACGGAACTCCATCCCCACGCAGGGACTGTGTCACTGCCACAGCACACGGGGTACCTGTGTGGCAGGTGTGTTCTACACCTCACAATCACAGAGGGAAATGATTCCTGTGTGCTGGATCCTGTTCCCAGCTCCTTTTGAAAAGCCTTTTGCAGCTTTCTCAGTCTGTTCTTTCTGGCAGGTTGGAGTCGGGGTTTAACTGTTMAAGCTCATGATGGTGCCACGCAGTTTTTCTCAATTACAGGTGAGTCATCATCCCTCCAGGTCTATTTCTGACTCCCAGCAGGAAAAGCAGAATTCAGCCCTTCATTCCTCAGTGTTACCAGCTCGGTAACCATCACATTTTACTAGGCAAAATCGAAATGGCTATGAAGAGCATGGCAGCTTGGTCCCTCCTGCTTTCTGCTGGCAGGATGTCTCGTGGAGCTGGCCAGRGATGGCACCCCAGTGCCAAGAGTATCACTGCCAGCTCATCCCTGAATTGCAGGTCAGAAACAAAGACCAAATTAATTTAAAGGAATTACCCGAGGTGGGATTTTCACTCGGCTTCAGCAGTTTAGAAGCAGCTGTTTCAGCATCCTCAAAAATCAGTTTCATGCTTTGGGAACAAACCATCTCAAATCCATCAGCTCAGAGTTCGCTGTGATGGCAAGGGCTGCTCCCTGAGTGTGGCCAGTGCCAGGAAGGCAGGGTGTTCCAGGGATATTGAACAGGGAATCAGCTGGACTTCTGGGGTCTGCTCCTGGTTTTCCTATGGCRTTGGGAAAGGCACTTCCTTCTCTCTCTTTCTAACATGTCTTGCCCAGCTCATCTGTCCCAGCTGGAACAGGCACATTTTGGACAATGCAAAGCACAAGGGACCTGGACACTGCCTRAAATGCTGAGATGTTTTCCTAGAACAAACCATGACCCTGTGCAGACAGATATGTGGTTTACACCCTTCAAGGCAYGGCCGTGGTGCACCAGGCACTGAAATCCCTGCTCCTAAACTTGTCCTTTCTTTGGGGTTCACACCCCCAACTTCTTCTGGGTGCAGTGTTTGYACAGCCATCTCCCACATCATGGGGTGCTAGTTTTCTTCCCCTGCTAGAGCTCAGATAAGGCACAGGAGGTATCTCCAGCCCACATACAAACTGTCTTTCTGTCTCACTTCCTATTGCTGCAAATCAACGGAGACACAGAGCCAGCCAATAATGGGGAAGGATATTGCACCTTCCACATTTCCCCCATCAAATGGAGAACATCAGTATTTGGAAACGGCACTTCCCAGAGCATTTGTTCAATCTGAACAAGTTTTATGGGCATTTACCATTCCCCCTGGGTTTCAGGGACAGGGAACAAACAGAACAGCACACAGGCAACTGCCCAAGATCTGCCCATGTTTTCATTTTATGAGTTTTATGAATTTAATTAAATGTAGTGGAAAACCTGTATTTGCTTTCTGCCTCTTCTGTTCATGGCAACTTCTTATCTTTGTCTCTGTCACAAAAATGCCATTAGGTTTTCTCAGGTCTGAGTATGTGAYCATGACAGCCTGGAGGAGCCAAGATGTGGGGTTTTCACTTTCTTCAAAAACTGTTCAAACCAGGGCTGGGACCAGGATGCTTTAGGCCCTGGCAGGAGCTCTGAGGTCTCCTTGGAGCCTTGTCTTCTCCAGGTGAGCTCTCCCAGCCTGGCTCCAGAGCAGAAGGGCTCCAACCCTGTGATGTGACCTTCTCTGACCTCCAGCAGATCCACCTCTTCCCTGTGGGTGCGGTGCCAGAGCTGGACACAGTGCTCCAGGGGGGAAAAGCGATGTGGAAGCTCCTTGTTCTGGGAGCAGCTCCAACAAAGCGAGTTTGGAGTGAAGCAGCCCAGCGTGGCTGCAGTGCCTGGCTGAGGGAGCAGGATGGGCTCTGGACACGGATTCCAGCTGCTGACTTGAGCAGCTCTCCGAGGTCTGAGCCTGCCCTGGCACGGGCGTGGGTGGGAAAACAGCTTGTCCTTCACATTCCCCAGGCAACAGGCCTGAAGCAGYGCTTTGATCGATGTCCCTTTAGTTGTTGCTCTGAAATGCTTTCCTTGCTGTTCATTAGAGCCTGGCTGTTGCTGCTTTCAGGCATTAGGAAAAAGATAGTTGATGGGAATGTGGAGAGGAGCTCAGAAGTTCATAGTCCAGTGGCAGGGAGAATGGACTTCCTGATGAGCAATACCTTAGCCCACTATCACYAGAAAGCTCTTCTTGCCTCCACCCTGAGAGATCCAAAAATATCTGGAAGATCATTTATTAGCTGGTTACTCATTCACTTGGGAAACGTTTCTCAGGTGRGATACAGCACTTACTGTACATGGACAAATGAAGGAAAAGTGTGCCAGAAAAACACTGTGGAAAACTTTACTATCTGAAATCATCGGGGGAAGATTGGGATAACAGAASTCAGTGAGCTGAGCTAGCATCGGTTTTGAATATGAAAAGTGATATCTCAGTGCTTGCGTAAAACCCAAACTGAACCAAACCCCAAAGGGTTTCAAAATGCCTCTCAGTGGTGCAGCCATGGCCTCAACAGCTCAGGAAGAAACTCAGCAACTGTTCCTCCAAATATTTCACAGCATGAAAAGTTTGGAGGCTTTGGCAAACCAGAATCTAATCTGATTCAGCCACTGCTCACCTCCTAGGGAGGAGCCTTGAAAAGGGGAATAAGGTCTCTTGCTGTTCCCCAAACTAGCCTCACCAGGAACACGCCAGCAAGTCCCATCGGACTGGGGACGTGCCAGCCACCCAGCTGACTTTGGTGCTGGTCACCTGCAGCTGTGGCACAAGGTGAGCAGAGCTGACAGGTATGAGGACGTGGGGCAGCTCAAGCTGTA